CATTGTAGGAGCTTTCATCCGTCAATTCTAATGTTGTGTTTAATTTCATGCGAATTTCTAAAAGCAAATTTAAGTTTTAATTGTACGAAATCTTGACATACGGACGAATGGATTGACAAACGAACAACAATTTGAAATAATACGTCCGTTACGGGCGTATTAAAGCCACATCGTGAGGGAAATAAACAATCTTCATCATTAATCTATAAAATATGCCTAGTTCTTGATCGTCTTGAGTTTTAAGTAAATTTATAACAGAAATTATCAAAGATCTGTCATCAACGCAAAATTCTCCCAATACAGGAAAAACATTATGATATGACATAATAGACCTTTTCAACAACTCACGACACCGACTATTGACATTCACAGTTTACAGGAGAAATAGAGGGGTCGTATCAAAGATAAAAATCATTCAGGTAGATCATGCATGTAACATAAACGTAGTACTACATATTCGATTTAAATTGTATTATTTAAAAACAAAAGAACGGATATTGTGCAAATAGCTATTCTGGATTTTCTGTGTTTTTCCCCTTTTTTTCATATAATACTTATCATATGTGAAAAAAATAATTATAAACCATTTCTCTTTCCATTCTATAAATCTTTCAATAAAAATCGGCAATCTATTCACATCCGAATCTATTCACTACAAACCGGTAAAAGTCTGAAATGGCCTATATCTGTACTCGACTGTACTGATTTGTACTCGACCAGTCTGAATTGGTCTGAATTTTACTCGACATTACTCGACCCAAGTCTTAACCATACTCGACTGTTATGATTTGTACTTGACCCTTATCTTTGCCATTGAAAATAGTCTGAACTATTACTCGACTAGTCTGAAACAGTCTTAACCCATTCTCGACCTACTTTTTTCAGTCTAAACCATACTCGACCAAAGGTCTGGACAATACTCGACCAGTCTGAACCATACTTGACCAAATAACCTCTACTTTTTCTAAATTTTAAATGTTAAAATAAATTTCTTTTTAACTGACATGACAACAGCCACAATAAAATAAATATAGATTATAAAAACAGATTTTTACATTCTTACATGATTCTCAGATTTATCGAATAGAGATAGTTAAATCAAATTATCTTATATAATAATTTAATTATATTAATTTTAAAGTTTTAGAGTTTTGTTAAAAAAAGATTTTCTTTTACCTAAAAACCACATCTATACTGAGGGTAATTAAACCTTATTAAGGTGCTTCTTGTTTGGCATGTGTTTTTTTTTAAAATTAATTTTCCTAAATTCCTAAATAAAAACTACATAGGTTTCATGGTTACATACAAAAAATGTACAATAGTTATATAATTATCTTTTTAATGAGGTAACAACAGCCAACAAAATCACTGAAATTGTTTAACCTTATTTTAGAAATATATCTATTATTATAATTTGGGATATATTATATACAATATATATCAAAAAGGGATAAAAATTAAAGAAATTAATAAAATTGTTCTTCTGATTAGTGGTGAAGTATAAAGTAATACCTCCTGCTTGGGGCAAACTCATGAAAAAGATCACACCTGGTCAGAGAGTATTAAATTCTAAATAACATTCATTCAAAATTGCAACATCCTGTGAAACTTAAATCGCAAGGCCTTTTGAATTCACTAGATAAGTAATACACGAGTTTAAGAAAAATAGGGCTTTCTTTTTACCTGTAAAACACACATGTACTGAGGTTATTAAACCTTATTAAAGTTCTTCTTGTATGTCATGTCTTTAATTTTGACAAAAATTATTTAAATTTAATTGAAATAAATGTTTACTGTAACTTTGGAACACATTTCCTTCTTTAAAAGTTTATCACAGGATTACTATGGAAGTTCTATTATCATGATTTATTTATATTAAATTCTTGGTTTAACAAAACAAAGGTGTCAGTTTTTAAATTTATTAAGTTGCTTTATATGCTATTTTATATATATTTTAATAAAAAAAAATTTTCACTGCATTATTAACTAAACTCAACTGACACCATAAATCTATGTGAGGCTTAAGTTAATGGTGAAAATTGTCCAGTAACCATAAAATATATCTGAAACATTCAAAAAATTTTGAATAACATTGAAAATATTAGTCACAATTCAGTTTTGAGATTATTTGATCAGCTTGTTTTATTTTTATTTTAAAGGTGATATATATGTATGTATATAAGTGTTGATGAATATGGTGATGAAGTTATATTATGTTTATTGTGAAATTTTGGTTTCAATGCTATATTAAATACATTTTTAATTTCAAATTGTTGTTCAAATTTCTAGCCAGGGGAAATAGCTGTTGTTAAAAACAGTTCCTAAATTGATGAAATACAATAGATAGATACAAAAAATAGGTCTATGTTGGTTAAGACTTGGTCGAGTATGGTTCAGACTAGGTCGAGTATGGTTCAGACTAGGTCGAGCATGGTTCAGACTAGGTCGAGCATGGTTCAGACGCATATAAAATGGTTAAGTACTGGTCGAGTAAGGGTCGAGTACAAGTTCAGACTGTTAAGTATGGTTCAGACTACAGTCGAGTATTATCAAGTAAATTTCAGACCAATTCAGACTGGTCGAGTAAAAATCAGTACAGTCGAGTACAGATAAAGGCCATTTCAGACTTTTACTGGTTTGTAGTGATTGCTTCTTCGGTAATATGATTATTGATATCTAGTTGTACGAGTTTTCCATGGAAGACTGCTTCGCTTGCCAACAGCCGTTAACTCGTTTTTGGAATGTTATTTTATGACTCTACAATTTATCCTCCCCATAGTAACAAAGTTACGGATAGGACATTGCAACGGGACTATCTGTCTGTCCGTAACGCGTCCAAAACACACTTGTGGACATTGTAGAGGTTGCGTCTCAGCAGATCTTCACTATACTTGTTGTACATATTGAATATAATTGACTGTTATAAGTTCCCGAATGAATCAGACCTTGGCCCTTTGTTTTTGATACATTTTCTCCGTTCCCCGGCATAATCACCACGGGAAACACGTCTAGTATGTTGTAAGAAGCTAGAACTGTTTACCCTGTCGGAGCACTTGCGTTGATCCCAGTTTTACGGAGTCAGTGTTTTCTCATATAACTTTGGTCTTCTATGAGAAAATTGACCTTTTCTTTTGTCCCCCGATTATTTTTCTTTATTTTCCCTTTTGTTGAACTTTGGTCTTCTATTAGAAAATTACCCTTTTGTCTTGTCCCCCAACTATTTTTCTTTGTTTTCCCTTTTGTTGATCTACGCTTCGGTTTTCTTCTCTTATTAGTTTTACTATGCGTCCCAATGGTCTTTTTATTTTTTTTATTTCACCTCTGACCAAACATAGAGAGAGGTTTGGGATCCGTTTATATATTAAGTAAAACTCCCGCTGCATAAATTTTGCCCCTTTTCAAACCCTGGACTATGTTGGTCGATAGTATATTCTTTTCTCGTTAGAATTTTTAGTTTACAACTCTTTGTTTTGTCGGAGCCGTTCAGATCTCACTGCTTGGTACTGAATTCGGAGATCACGCGGTAACTCTAAATGTCAGTTTTATGTGTTGCATTGTGTGATTTTAAGCTTTATTCGTGCCGTGTCCATTGTCCGTGCCTGCCTTTTCTCATTATTGTCAAATTATGTTTTGTGTTATTTGAATTGAAAAAATATAACCAAAACATGAAATAAGACATTCGCCTTATCTAAATGTTCTGTACAAATTGTCACTGAATACACATTTAAGTTAAACATATAGCATGGGTGAATTAAAAAAAACCTACTAAGTATAAAGTACATTGTGAAGGCATTCAAGGCAAAAAATAACGGACTTTGTATAGACATGTGCCGCCCTTGCCAATAGACATACAATAATTGTCTGTTTACATATTTACAACTTTTTTTTTCATTTGGCTACCTTAAAGTAGCTAGATTCTCATCTTCTAAAAATATAGAATAGAATATTAAAGATTTCCTTTTTATTCATTCATGAGGGTCTGGATTGGGGTCCCTCAATTCTGTATTCTCTTTTTTTAAGCATTTTTCTCTATTCTTCTTTTATTTTCCCATTATTCTCTATTACTGTCTATTCTTTATTATAAATTAGCACCCCAGTATTCTCTATTCTTTATTTTTTTTGCCTATTTTTCTCTCTTTTTTTTTGGCCCATGATTCTGTGGTATTGGTCTATTTATGTCTATTCTGTAAACCACATCCATACCCTTATTCATACTCAATTTAAAATAAAATTCAAGAATTTAAATCAGTAAATGGTTTATAACCAAAACAAGAAAAATATCGTTGTGGTAATTACAAATAGGCAAACATTTTTTATATCCAACCATTACTACTTTGAGACAACCACTTACATCTTACCTGTCGTAGTCGTTGTCAACTGTAGGTGTAGATAATTGTTGAAAAGGTCTACTAGTACTCCACACCATAGATTACAAGACCAAGTGTTGTTGTCATATACATGTATAAGCATAACCAACCTTAATGCCTCTTCAACAGGCTTGGAATCACGAATGAATCCCATTACATACCTAAATAACTTACCAAAGACACAATGATAGATAAAATCTGTACTTTTTACCTTTTGGTATGATTCTAAAAGAAGGTGTTGTCGATCACTTTGTACTTTATACCAAACTACTAAACATTGAAGAACATAAATGATAATTTTTTCCCTAATAAAGTTTATACAATCGTAAGATATCAGCCAGGAATTATAAATTGAAACCTTTTTCTGTGAGTGAGTGCAGCAGGACCAATTTGAGATTTTTTTAAACAATTAGCAGAATGTTAAGAAAAGATGTACGTTATACAAAAAAAAATGTTGTTTTAAAAAAGGTTATCAAGGTACTATCATTTCAATTCATTTGATACATTCAATCCGCTACAACTTCACATATTTCGACTACCTGTTTCTATCCAGTGATATAAATTTATTTTGTCTCCGCCCTTTTTACCTTATTTAACGTATATAAACTATTATATCCAATACCGCCCGATATTCATATTTTACAGCGGATTCGTTCTTCTTATAACAGGTAAGCTGATCATGTTAGCCAAACGATTCGATTTAAAGAATAACAAATATATATAAAGACTCTGAAATTTTTTATGTAGGGTATATGAAAGTTACTGGTTAACATCTTAATAGTTATGCAACAAAATGAAAAGTGCGTGTGTACACCTTATGATCATTTTTTGTTGTGACGGTGTGCACGATATTGGTGTCTGTTTGAAAATGTGTGACAAGTAGATAGTCTGTTATTCAAGTTTGTGCTGTTTTTCTGAATATATTTTTTTTCTAAATTCGAGTGTATATCCCAAAGAAATATATATTAAAAAGCTGATTATATGCTTTTTATATGATCATTTTAAGAAATATTATGAACATTCCGATACCTTTAACGTCATTCTACGGCAGAACCCGCTATAACAATTTTGTCATTTGCTCGTCTTTGATATCGATAAGATAAGATAGATACATTTATTTTATTATAGTATCACATATTGATTGACATAATAAAGTACACAATGAATATATATATCATCAGCTAAAACATTAAATCAATACCCAACCATAAAATTGACTTACATTGTATGAGACACTTTTAAAATTCTATATTTACACTAAATTCTTATAAAAATCTGTATTTACACTAAGTTACAATCATGTTGTCTGTTGAATAAAAAATAAATAAATAAAAATTAATCTAGATGATTAAAAAAATAAAATAAAGATAAAATAAAATAATGTTAATCTATCATACTATAACTATCACAGTTAATTATTTTGCAATTCATTAAATAAAAAATTGCTTCACTTCAGTATAAAGTTATAACTTAAAATTAAAGCAAAAATCAGATTAACCTTAATCATGTTATATCACTAGTCGAATGTGAAAAGTTTTCGACGTAAAAAGAATTTATGCAGACTCTTACAAAAATATTAATGTATTTCTTCGCAGTTCATGATATTGACAAATTGATCAAATTTGACTCATACTGTTAAAATTTTCAATATATTTGACGCATTCAAGAAAAACGTCATATCTTAAATCTGAATATAATGAACAATTCATTAGAAAATGTTTTTCTGTTTCTATTTCACCTAGTTCACAGTATCTACAAATTCTATGTTCATACGGAGTAGGCGGTCTGGAGTAACGCCAGGTCTCCAGGGCAAGCGGCAACGAGCCAGCGCGAAACATTGCCATGCATCGTCTCTAATATTTTGGAATGTTTATTCTAGCATATGTTTCAACATTAACATTGTCTTTATAGAGTCGATAGGTACGAAGTTTGTTTCCATTTACTTGGTTGCCTTTATCATTTAAAAGTTCATTACGCCATTCTACATTGCCCAAGTTGATGAGCTTTTCATGGACTGGTCCACTTGCATTGCATTGTTTACAGAAACACCAATGTTTTGTACAACCATATTACTCTCCACCTTGTCCACAATTTTATTTACCTCAAAAGTCCAACCTTTTCTTCATCTGAATGACCATTTCCAAATCTTACTTAGGAGACGATTCTCATCAAGTCTATAAAGTTTACAAAGTAAGCGAACACACGATTTTCTTAGTTTGGTCTTGGTCGAGGTCCAGCCCATATCTCCGCGTGTCGCTATATTCGAAGTGTGTTTTCCTACACCCAAGAAGAATTTACATGCTTTATTCTGCACGGTCGAGATTTGGCTTAAGTTTCACAGTGCGGATTGATTAAATTATTATTACTTATAGTTATCACATTTTAACTACGATTCTTTTTTTCAAAATCTTGTCATTTTTTCTGTAAAATGTCCGGGTGCACAAAACGGTAAATATACAAATTCAGAGGTTTAAATTTAAAAAAAAAAGATAATAACTTTCAACTGATTTAATTGGAAAATACATTAAATTACCTCAAATATGATATAAAATATAGTTTTGATTAAGCTGCGATTAGAAAATAAAAAAAAATTTATCAAATTATGTTTAATGATATGATGTCCCCGTTACTGTAATCTGAGGTCCGCGTGATACCGTTAAACTGTTTCAGTACATGTATGACTTTTTCGTTTATATCTGGCATAAAATTCGATTCACGACATGATTTGAAATATATTCAATTAAATTCTGGCTTGTTTAATTGACAGATAAATATTGTATGAACAATATGCGATTGCTACATATTGGGCGATATCTTTTTGTGCCAAAAATGAACAACTTATTTGCGCCAATGCTACTTCTGCGCCACTTTATTTAAAAAAAATTAAAGGTAGCATTTGCGCCAATAAACATATCCTCTAATAGCGCCATTAAGTTGTGGCGCAAATGAGTTCATTTTTGTCACAAAAAGATATCGCTCATCAAAAGTGAGGTCATCTTACATTGTTTTTACAGAAACACCAAAGTACTTTTTAATCTAGCTTTCGACTAAAGAAAATCATGATGCACTTTACGCGACTTCTTTCGAAATGCAAATTTATGAAAAAGTATTTTTGGTGGAAAGTGCAAGTACATGAACAACCAATTTAAAGAAAAAGTTCAAGAATTTTCAAATAGTAAAAAGTAAATAACATTGAACACGATATATATATATATATAATAAAAAGACCTGCTAGTCAAATGCGTTTTGTTATAATATACTTTTTCACTTTTTTTGGTCTTTTGGAAAATGTTGTTTGTGTTGTATTTAGACCCCTCTACCAAGAAATTTGTTTTGCATGCACACGTATAAAAATTGCGGTTTTTATCCAACGCAACCATAGGTTTGAACGTTGTTTTCAATTTAGATTTGTTTATATAAAATATATTGACATCCTATAATAACTTTGTGAAAAAAATATCCGATTATGTAAGGGTTGTACATTGAAAAAGCTCTTTTGTGTGAATGGTAGGAAACTAAACAAAAGTTTTTTAGAGTAAAATACAAAACGGTCGCTCTGTGAATGTGCTTTCCAGAAACTAATTTAAAAATCCCCGCAGTCGTTTTCTTGTTTCATCCAGAAATGATCCAGATAAACGAACTGTAAATTCTTTTAAAAATATATGTTTTCTAAATGATCTATTTAATAAAACAGTTATTTGAAATCAATGCAAACGTTGTCTTTTTTTTTCTTTTCGAAAAAGATTAATTCAGATAAGATAACTTGAAGATAAATTCACTATTCAGTTCGTTTAAGCGAAACGCACTTCTTTGATAATAAATTATTGTCAAATTGTAAACCGATCATGTGTAGCTATGTGCAATAAAATAAATAATCAACCCCCCTTCTCACCCTAAAAGAAAAATTTGAATAACATTATAATACATATTTTGAACTCAGAAAACTATCAATATAGTACAAATTTGTTTACGAATATTTGCCAGTTAATAATCAATATATAAATTGTTTTATTAATGTTTTTTACACATACATATACGTGTATGAGTCTAGCTCTGGTCTGGTATTTGCCTAAGATCATTTACTAAATTGAGTATATCCATATTTACATATGATTGTCAAAATTATTTGTGTTCTCAATTACTTTACTCATCATGAACCCTTTGATTGAATTAAAAAGATCTTTTATCTCTTTTTCTTAATTATAGATCCTTTCTGTTTTAAAATTTATTCAGTCAATGTACATGTAGTTGACTATATATTGCCTCACAATTATATTTTCACAATCGATTTTCTTTTTCTTTTTTCTTTTTAGATGGACTGTACGAAGTGTTCTTATCGGGTCAAATGTTGTCCTACATGTGGAACAATTTTCGAAACCGGTAAGTTGTATTTTATTCTTCAAAGGTATCGACGCATATAATAACACTTCCACATTGAAGAAATACACAAATAACGTTTCTTTCTAACGTTTTTGTTGGTTATGGTCAATCAGATGCATTTTCAAACGGTTTGCATTCCTCGTATGTTTTCCGTTTCTAGGGATGTATGTTACGAATTTGTATTTGAAAACCATACATAACGATGTCAAAATGACGTTCCTATGTTTGCTTAATTTAACTCATAGTATAATGGTATTGATGCGTCTATATGTTCTTTGTGAAAAAGATTATTTCAGCATCTGTTGTGTATTTCGTTACTGTTTGACATACACTCCGAACTACAGACCACTGATGTTTGAGTATAGAATATGCTGTCATATCAGGATGTGAAATACCGTATAAACAGTAGATTTCCGTGGTTTGACTGCTTGTAGTATAGCGGTATTCTAAAAAAAATCCCATTGAAAAAAAACAATGACATTGATTTGATTGATTGATGTTTAACGCCACTTTAAACAATATTGTGCTATTTCGTGGCGGTAAGTTTGTATTGGTGGAGGAAGACCAAGTGCCTGAAGAGAACCGCCGAACTTTGGTAAGAAAACTGATAATCCTAATGAATTAAAATTGGAGTCGAGTGCACTAAATCAAATCTGATCATATCTTGCTTTTATTTTAGGTCCCTACTGCACTTAATCATCCTTAACTTTAAAATTTAAATTTGAATAATATACAAAATTGTTAACAGATTACCAAAGATATGTTACAATTGTCATAATCCCGTTCTCTTTTCCCGATTGTGATTCTCCGAATAAGACTTATCGCCGAATTGTATTTACCATGATGTTACAATGTACTAAATAAAGTTACATGGGCGCAGCTATAAGTGAATTGAACATGACATAAAAATAGCTGGCTCTTGGTTGATATTTCATTTATATATAATTTACTCGCCTAGGAATCATTATGAATAAAGTTTCAAGCAAGCACAAATTTGTCCTTAAAAGTAAAATATTAAATTAAATATGGATGGAGATTTTTTTTATTTTGATAATTTTAAAAAAAATTTTCGTAAGCTAGGTATGGTAAAAAAAACCCACACATTTACCGAGAAAAGCCATGGGACCATATATATTTAAGTACGGTTAAATCAAACACAGATATAGCACTCAAAACAATGTGTCAGCAGTTTTCCCATAAATAGTTTAAAAGGCAATTTAAGAAAATTATTGCCAAAAATAGCATTGTCGGTAATGTGACAAACTTTTGTACTTTTCATTCATGAAACCTGTAATTAAGGTCTTTCCTTTCACCATAAGGATAAAAGCCGAATGGTGGAATTTGTTCAGGACCAGACCCTGGTTCTTCGTTACATTTGGATCGAAAAGATTCAACGACTCATTGGTAGGGTTATCCCCCTTTGAAAATTAACCGATGTCGGTTGGCCACTAAAACTCAGAAACCGTAAGTTGTAGCCACCTAGGATTTTCTATGGAACGCCACAGCTGTCTTATGTGGAACTCTGATATTACTTTATATTGTATTATTATTACTTGATGATATTTTGTCTTTACTTAATATGGATTTGACATTACGTAATGATGTTTTGATATAACTCAATATGGAATAGCCATTACTTAATGGTATTTCGATATTACACGATATGGTTTCGTATTGACTTGATATAGTTTTGTCATTACTCAATATGGTTTTGTCATTACTCGATGTGGTTTCACCATTATTTAATGTGGTTGTGTCATTAGTCAATGTGGTTTTAACATTACTTGATGTGAATGTGACTTAACGTTATGTAGTTGTTTCATTACATGATGTGTTTTTTTTTTATTTTGTAATGATGATTTGCTTATTCTTTATATGGTTTTAACATTACGTAATGATGTTTCAAAATTTTACGATTTTACACTACATGATGTGTTTGTTTCATTATTTGATGTGGTCCTGTCATTCTTTGATGTGGTTATCCCATTACTTAATGAGGTAAAACCACGTGACCAATTCGGAAAAAAATATGTTCTATTTCTAAACAGATTTCAATATATCATTTGTTTAATGTGCTTTGGATGGGTATCGCTATCCATTGAGTTAAAGTTCAAATTAAAGCTCGAGTGGTTGTTCAAAGTTATTTGGTATGAAAAAGGGGAACGACAGACAATAATAAGAAAAAAAGTATTAACAAGTTTACAGTATTTCGTACATAATTGGGATATCCCCAATCCACTTGGTCCTGCTGTTATTATCCTAAGTTCTCAAACGGAAGCAGTTTTTTGTAATAAATTGGTAAAATATTCCACGGAACCCTGTGTCTCGCCTGATATTTTTGCTCTAAGTGTAAAAGCGTCATGTCGATCGGCTGTACATTTGTCTATACATTTATCGGTAAAAACAAAATTAAAAAAAAAATGTTTTTCTGTAGATGCTTTTTCTTGAAATTGAGGAATAACTCCTATACAAGTTTTAAAACACTTCATGGAGGTTTACAAATTTATCATGTCAAAACAGTTTAATTCGGTTTTATTTAACTAAAACAAAACTGTATGGTTTTCAACAATAAGCAAAATCTATACCCTATAGTAAGATATAAAAGGTCCCGAAATGAAAAATGTAAAAAACTAGAAACCTAGCGATCTATAGATAGATAGATAGATAGATAGATACTTTATTCTCTAAAAACTAATTACAAGTTTATAGAGAAACATACAATATAAATACAGATACAATTATTATAGTTGAGGTAAACAAATACAGTATGATATTCTAAAAGTACAAAATTATGATGGCATACATGTTTAGTAACATGTATAATGAAAGGTTAAAATCAATAGAAATAAAAAAAAAATGGAGATGGAGACGCCGACGCCGACGCCACTGTCGACGACGAAATATAGGTTTGTTGTGTCTCACTGCCTCTACATTGATGTCGCAGGCTCGACACAAATCAAAAGACTTGAACTTTATTGTTAACAAATGAAACACTTCAAATCAACTCACACTAAAGTTACAGGGAAACGGGGGGAGAGGGGCTCGGACTTAGCGACAACGCATACATACTATAAAATAAAAATTCTCCGAATTTTGTTTTAGAGAACTTATATGAATATCTATCTTTTATTTGTAATCAATTGAATTCCCTGATCTACCTCGCACTAATTGAAAAATAAACTTTTTGGAATATCTGTTTCACATGTGACGACGGACATGTTCCAGTGGTCGTAACCATAATCCCGTTATCTTTTCCTTGAATGTGAACTACCAAATAAAACCAAATCACTGGGTTTGTACTTTCTCGAATAACACGACGGGTGCCTTTCTGGAGCATCCGAGATCACCCCGATGAATTTATATTACCCAGTCATACCGATCTATTGAGTCAGCCAAATGAAACTGTTTTGTATGCCACCGCAACTGAAAGTTGGGGGGCATATTGTTTTACCCCTGTTCGTCCATCCGTCTGTCCGTCCCATTATGGATATATAGTTATTCCGCATAACTCCTCCTATAGTTTGAATCCTAGGAAGTTTTCTCTTTACTGTCTGTTTGTACATATATTGAAGGTGTGCATGTGGTCAGGGTTTAATGTTTATTAATATTTGCTCTTTTGGGAGATAGTTGAACTTTCTTTTGTAATTTTTTGGGAAATTTACTTGCATAAGAAGAGCGTTTCCAGATAACTCCTCCTACAGTTTGAATGCTAGGAAGTTTTCACTCTGCTGGCTGTTTGTACAATTATTGAAGGTGTGCATGTGGTCAGGGTTTTTATTTTTATTATCTTTTGCTCTTTTGGGAGATAATTGAACTTTTTTTTTGTCATTTTTGGGGTATAAGCGGTTAATTTGAATGAGTTGAGTGCGAGGGCAACACTTTGTCTAGTTTACATTTTTTTTCTCGTTTTGTGCTGTCACACAACTGTAACAGTCCGATGTAAGGTTAGGATTTAGCGCTCACATACATGTTAAACTCCACCACGTGCACTTTCTTTATGTACCTGCCCCAAGTCAGGAGCATGAAGTTCAATTGTTGTCGTTGTATAAATGTGTGTCATTTTTTTTTGTAGATTGTTTAAATATAAATAGAACCGTTTGTTTTGTCGTTTGAATTTTTTCACATGGTGCATGGTGGCCTTTTGTAGCTGACTATACGGTGTGCTAAAGGCTGTACGGTTGCCTATATATGATTTCTTACACCCACTGCATTAAAACTCTGGTGTATAGTTGTCTCATTGTCAATCACACCACATCTAACTTTATTTCAACTTCTATGTTGCGTTTTGTATACTGTAACATTGTTCATCTTTTGTACGCATACCCAGGAGCCCTCTTTTCGGAATCCCGAGCAAAAGTCCTTGTTCCGCGATAGGAAATTTAATTACGAACTCATATAAGATAGCTCGAATTTCAACTCAAAATCTTAATTAATCTGAATGAGACTTAAATTCGATTCTTACTCAAACTCAAAAAGTGACTCAAATTTAATGTTGTAACTAGAACTCTTTAAATGTGACTCAAACTCGAAGTCCAACTCGAAACTCAATGCTAACTAAAACTTTAATTCTAATAATGACTTGAATTCGAAATCGAAGACTAACTCAAAGTATAACTCAAATAGTAACCCGAACTTTAATTTGAACTTTAATTCGATGGATGGCCACACTCATCCCAGGCACATACAACATGGGAATCTATCTAAAAATAGAACAGGTTTTTCCGAATTGGTCACGTGATTTTACCTCATCAAGTAATGGGATAACCACATCAAAGAATGACAGGACCACATCAAATAATGAAACAAACACATCATGTAGTGTAAAATCGTCAAATTTTGAAACATCATTACGTAATGTTAAAACCATATAAAAAATAGGCAAATCATTATTACAAAATAACAAAACCACATCATGTAATATATATATAATGAAACAACTACATAACGTTAAGTCACATTTACATCAAGTAATGTTAAAACCACATTGACTAATGACACAACCACATTAAATAATGGTGAAACCACATCGAGAATTGACAAAACCATATTGAGTAATGACAAAACTATATCAAGTCAATACGAAACCATATCGTGTAATATCGAAATATCATTAAGTAATGACTATTCCATATTGAGTTATATCAAAACATTATTACGTAATGTCAAAACCATATTAAGTAAAGACAAAATATCATCAAGTAATAATAAAACAACATAAAGTAATATCAGAGTTCCACATAAGACAGCTGTGGCGTTCCATAATATTCACCAATGATCGTCATTTCATGTGACCATGAAAATGCTTCAAGGTCCAAGATCAAGGTCATGACCTAGATTTTGACCTTAGCTTGTTATCGGATTTCCTCAATTTCTTCAATAACCGTAAAAGATGGCTGATAAAGTGTAATGGAGAAAATTTGTGTTTTGTCGAGATCTACATTTGTTATGTGGGTCTTAAATTATTGGACCAACTATTATGGACCTAGGGCACCTAAACTGTTTATCGGGGTCCGAAATGAAGATGTTTTGCTTATAGCTCAAAAGAGGTTAGAGATAGAAAGAAACTTTGAACTGCAAAAATGTTTAGCATAATATTATCTACAAAGTTAGGTCAAGGTCCCTAGAAACGACATGCAAAACCTTAATAACCATATATTTTTGAACTTAGAAGGCAATGAATAATATAAATATGAAATTTTTAATACTGGAAATGACATGTTTGTCCCTAGCAACAACATATAAGTCCTTAGCAACCACTTTTTTTTTAACTTTTAAGGCTATGAATAGAAGATATGACATTTTTAATACTTCGTGTTTTTACCCTATTTCAATGATTTCGGTGTTTTAAAGCATTCTGATTCTGAATTAGTGTACATTTAACAAAAAGGAAAAAGGAAAGACCTTTCAATTGTTCATGATCAATTGACTTTTAATTTTCAGTCATACATTTCTTTCCGAGCTGACTTGTCCAAATTCAAAATCCCGATTTAAATTAGAAAATTGTCGTATGTAATATTGGCTCGTTAATTCTTTAAGTCAGAGAACAGTAATATCAATGACATATAGTGTGCATTACGAAACAATTTTTCTTATGTTTTCAGGAAATGAGATTGCAGAAAAAATACATCCATCAACAGCTGCCAAAGATGACTGGACAAAGATAAAATCACATGGTGAATGCTCGTCATTCAGTGATAACAATACCCAACAAAGTATGTACATTTGTTACGTAAATCTACTTCGTGAAAAATGAATTAATCCATTTCTACTTATGGTATTTGTCTTTGCTAATATTATCATTTAGGATGGATTCACATTTTTATATTCCATTATTTTTATGGGAAATTAGATAAATACACGAACACAAGTGTATAACTATGATGTTCAAAACTTGTAAATCCTTTTCTATTTCATAAACCAAATACCAAAAATAACTTAAGTAATTGTGTAATTTCAAAATAGTTTTGTTTGTCATAGATCCCAATTTGAAGTCTTCAATTTGTGTCAGTTCTAAAACAATTTGACTTTTCCAAATAATGTATCATGTAATATGCTACTGCAAAATGTGTTTAAGTTCTAACAACACTCTTTGAAGAGATTTGTCCTCCATGAAATAGTTGATGTACTTTTCTTGAACAGTGTGGGTGTTTTGATTTGTGTATTTCTAACTGACACAATGATATATAGATATTATGAACGAAAAGTGAAGGTTTTCTATAATTATACCCCCGCTTTAAAAAAGTGGGGTATACTGTTTTGCCTCTGTCTGTCCGTACGTCAGCCAGTCCGTCCGTCCCATGAATATTTTCGTCGCATCTTTCTCAGGAACTACATTACAAGGACTTCTGAAATTTGACTTCAGGGTTTATATAAGTCATCTATACCGTGTGATGAGTGTTCTGATTCATCACTAGAAAACTTCCTGTTTACCGTTTGCGAAATCTTGTATCATTTTACACATGATAGCCAAGTTGAAAATTTTTGTTACATTTTTCTCAGGAACTACAATACAAATACTTCTGAAATTTGATTTCAGGGTTTATATATTATATTAAAGTCAGCTATACCGCGTGATGCGTTTTCATATTCTTCACTCAACAACTTCCTGTTTACCGAACACTTGTATCATTTTACACATGATAGCCAAGTTGAAAATTTAAATCCCATTTTTCTCAGGAACTACAATACAAGGATTTCTGAAATTGGGTTTCATGGTTAATATAAGCTATACCGTGTGATGCGTATTCAGGTTCATTACTCAACAACTTCCTGTTTACCGCAATATTTGGGCGGGGGTATCAGCAGTGATCAGTAGCTCGCAGTTTAACTTGTTTTATCTACAATAAATAAATGTTTACTAATATAACGACATTTGTTTCTCATCTTTATATAACCAGTTCTCCTTTAAACGTTTTTATTTCATTCTGCTTTTCTAGATTCGAATGAATACAGAATGGTAGTTTTGGGTTTACCATCCTCTGGCGTGAGCGCAACTGCTAACACTATAGTAGGAGAAAAAATGTTTCCGGACGGCGTTACTCTTGGTGTTACTACGAAGGAATGTCAGATGGAAAGTTGTACACGTTTTGGTCATGTATTAAAGGTAGTGGATACACCTGGATTTGTATGCGACAAAAAAATGAGGACTGCAGAAGAACTATTCCCAGGACTTAAAAAAAGTATTATGCTCATGCCTCCAGGACCACACATTGTCCTGGTTGTACTGCCGTTGGATAGAATAAACGAAGATTTACATCATATGATTCATTGTCTTAAGTGCTTTGAGAATTTGTCTAGGCATGTCATTGTCATATTGACAAAAATTGATGAGACTGGACAAGATAGGGCGGGATTGAAAAATAAAATCTATGAAAGTGAAAATTTGAGTGAATTGCTGGAGTTTTGTGGAAAACGTGTTTTATTATTTGATAATACAAGCAATAGCGAACAACAAGCCAAAGAACTGTTAGATGTAGTGATTGCAGTTGTTGAAGGAAATATGTCAGAATGCATTAAAACTGATTTTTTTTCGCATAAAACTAACAAAAATCTTGAGCTAGTTCTCCAAGACTACGAGAAAAGTAAGAAATCAATTTCAGAACGCTTCTTAGGCAGTTTTGGATTTGGAAAATAAGACTTTGAACTGCTTCAATTTAGATTTATTCCTTTTCTGCTTTTATTATTTAATTAAAAACTATCAATCGAACTATTATACTATTTTAATATTTAGTCAATATATGTCATTATTATATACATGACTTTATGCATATCAACTCGAAACTTAGTCGTTCCAGACTGCATCATTTAAATATACACAGTAGTATAATGTTCATGGGAAGTTTTCAAAAGCAAATGCACGGTATACGATCGCGTTTTCATGACAATAAGTCTGTCGCATGTGCCACATGGCGAAATAATTTAGTTAATGCGACAACTAGGTATATTAAAAATTCTCCTATATATAAAATCGTTTCCCTCCCATTTGTGCCCAGACTGGAAAAAGGCGGAATTTTCTTGCATCATGGGACACAAATTAGCAGACGGATGATAACCCATATCCTTTGTCATTGTTTCCTTGAATTCTAGACAAAATACTCAGGTTTGAATCTTTTGACACACACAATTTTTGAAGTAATATGGTATAAGCCAACTGGAATCCCTTAATTGAGGCATGCTAAATATTGATACAATCATTTCTTTGTGAATAAATGGAGATTTGGGGATAGCCAATGAGACATCAACCAAACACAAATGACTGTTATATATATATATATATCCAAATTATACTGAAAATAAAATAATCATAAAGTCCCCTATTTTAACTCATTATCGTTTTAATAGTTGCCTTCACAAACATTATATTATACAACTAGTATAAAATTGAGAATGGAAATGGGGAATGTGTCAAAGAGACAACAACCCGACCATAGAACAGACAACAGCAGAAGGTCACCAACAGGTCTTCAATGCAGCGAGAAATTCCCGCACCCGGAGGCGTCCTTCAGCTGGCCCCTAAACAAATATATATACTAGTTCAGTGATAATGAACGCCATACTAAACTCCAAATTGTACACAAGAAACTAAAATTAAAAATAATACAAGACTAACAAAGGCTAGAGGCTCCTGACTTGAGACAGGCGCAAAAATGCGGCGGGGTTAAACATGTTTATGAGATCTCAACCCTCCCCCTATACCTCTAGCCAATGTAGAAAAATAAACGCATAACAATACGCACATTAAAATTCAGTTCAAGAGAAGTCCGAGTCTGATGTCAGAAGATGTAACCAAAGAAAATAAACAAAATGACAATGATACATAAATAACAACAGACTACTAGCAGTTAACTGACATGCCAGCTCCAGACTTCAATTAAACTGATTGAAAGATTATGTCTTCATCATATGAATATCAGGCACAATCCTTCCCGTTAGGGGTTTAGTATCATACCATCATAACATATATGAGAAGAACATAACCCGTGTCATGCCAACAACTGGTTTTTAAATAAATGTGTTTAGTTCCGATGCAAAGACCCTATAAGTGAATCAATATTAACGCCAAAATATGCAATCTTTAATGACCTGACAACAGTATCGTAACTATATCCCTTCTTAATAAGTCTATTTAAAGGTTTTGTTAGCTTCAGAGGTGAATACTGACATTTTTGTGCTTTATAAAGAATATTTCCATAAAAAATTGGATGTGAAATACCTGAACGTATAAGAAGTCTGCATGTTGAGCTATATTTACGAATGATGTCCTTATACCGATGATAAAATTTAGTAAATGTTTTGACTAGTTTGTGATATCGAAAACCCTGGTGTAATAATTTTTCAGTAATACATAAATTTCTCTCGTTAAAATCTAAAACATTGTTACATACACGAGCGAATCGAACAAGTTGAGATATATAAACACCGTAAGATGGTGACAAGGGAACGTCACCATCTAAAAATGGATAATTTACAATAGGAAATGAAAAATCATCTCTTTTATCATATATTTTAGTATTAAGCTTTCCGTTAATGATATAGATATCAAGATCGAGGAAAGGGCAGTGGTCATTGTTAGTATTAGCTTTATTTAAAGTAAGTTCAACAGAATAAATTTCTTTAGTATACATACTGAAGTCGTCATTATTGAGAGCCAAAATATCATCCAAATATCTAAAAGTATTATTGAATTTGTGTATCAGATGTTGTTTCGATGGGTCTTTGCTGATTTTTGTCATAAATTGTAACTCATAGCAATACAAAAAAAGGTCCGCAATAAGTGGTGCACAGTTAGTCCCCATTGTAATTCCGATAACCTGACGATATACGGAATCTCCAAAGCGAACAAAAATGTTATCTAGTAAAAATTCAAGGGCATATATAGTATCAAAGCATGTCCAATTGACATAGTTTTTTTGTTTATTGCTACTAAAAAATGACCTAAAAGAGTTTGAACATATATATTCACTTTTTAAATGCCCATTTAATTAGGTGTGTGAATTTTTTCTTAATGAGAATGTGAGGCAATGTGGTATATAGGGTAGAAAAATCAAAACTTTGAACAGATTCAAAATCACCAATATATGCATGCAATTTATCAAGTACTCCCAACGAGTTCTTGACACTCCAAAAGTAATTAATTCCACTATTTTCGAAGGCCTTATTTGAACAATTTATTATCAGGTTTTTGATTGTACCAAGAGTACTGATAAGAAGAATAGACAATTTAGTAGTGGAACAATGGCTTGAAGACGAAATGAATCTATATTTGTAAGGTGTTTTGTGTAGCTTCGGAAGCCAATACAAAGTTGAGACTTTCATTGTATTTGGTTCTGCTTGTAAAGCGGTAGCTAAAAGTTTATGTTTGTTACAGATGTCGTTTTCTGAAAATGGAGTCAGCTGGAATGTTGGTGAATTGGTGATTTCTTTTTTCAGAACCTCAATGTAAAATTTACGTCAAACAATAATAATATTATGAGAAGCTTTATCGGCCGGGACAACAACAAATTACTTGGCTAGTTCTTTTAGTTTATGTTTGATACGAGAAATAGGTTTATTGTGGTTATTGTTAAGAGTAAAATGTTCTTTAAAATGTTGAATACGTATATCAACTATGTTCATTACTGAATTAAAAAGAGAGTCCAAAGATTTTTTGTCAGCTTTTTCCCGTTTTATCCATTTCAAACAGTAAGTATGGAGTGAGTCGTGGATGATATTACGACACTCATTCCAATTAATAATTGACGGGGGACGATATTTAGGTCCTTTACTGAGGAATGATTTTAACTCTCGGTCTTGAACGATGTTAAGATCTCCTGTTTGAACATGGGAAATGGGTCCATAAATGTATTCGGAATTACTGCAATTACATGACGTAGGTGTATTTTCACTGATATTAACATCTTTACACAATTGGCTATAATAAAACACAGATTTCCGGGTAGATTTCTTGTAAATATAACAAATAAGAGGGAGCTCAGTATTATCAAAATATCCCGGAATTTGTTCTTTAACAGAATGGTCGTTAAAAATACCGGCAATATTTACAAAATCAAAACCTTTATTGAAATACTTTATTTTAATAAACTGTTTTTTATGATCTTCAGGGCGATCAATTTTGGGAAACAGTTTAGAATAACAATATGCCATTATAATTTGAACGATTTCATACTTAGGACTGCTATATGAAATTGTGTTGCAATCCTCTAAAATTTTATTTAACTTATTAACCGGTAATGAACAGAGCTTTGTTAACAGATAATGTCTGCCGTTGTTTTTTGAAATAGAAATTAGGTCCGAAATATTGGAATGATTGGTCCGAAATTTTCTTTGGTTGCGATTTTTTCTACGACCATGAGAACGGTTTTTACGAACAGTTTTAGAAACTATATCCAAAATGTTAACATAATCGGTTCTTGATATATTACCAATTCCAATGATATTATCATTAAGACCGAGAGGGTAGACTGTCTGTAATTTTTTAATCCAATCTAATTCAATTATTTTCCGTGATCGTACAAACTTTGAATGAGATTCACCAGGCTGCTTATTTACTACTTCTAAAGGTTGAACTGCTAAATATTTAATAGGATGATTGTGCTTCTTAAGGTGTTGATAAATGATACTTTTGAATTTATTGGGTCTTTTAAAACGATACAGATGTACTTGAGTGCGTTTAGATAAATATCGTCCAGTTTCACCTACGTACTGAATACCGCATCCCGGTTTGTTTCATGTGAGTAAATAAATAATACTGTTTGTTTTTCAAGTTATATCAGTTTCAAAATTTAAAGAAAATGTGCGACCATTTAACGTGGACCTTACCATATTGTTGGTGGAAAGACGGGGACATGTATAGTTTATCTAGTACCTAAATAATTGTTATAGGCTTTGCTGTTTAACTGTGATATTTCAGAAAGTACGTAATCACATCTGCGTGCTTGCTCAATATATATATATATATATATATATATATATAGCTAGGGCATATTCCATTATATTGGGGTTTTCCTTTTGAACTACACTTAGTTCCATTGTTATCATGCGTGTAAGTAGCTTATTTAACAATGTATTTAAAAGTTATCCATATCATGAAGTTTGAAGAGCATCACTCCTAGCTTTATGAACGTATATAAAAAGATCAGTTTTTTTTTAAAACTTTAAATGTGACCCGAGTACTATTTCGAGAAAACAATTGAGGAACTACATGTGCATTTTCGAAAGTCAAACTCACACATCAAATGTATATTGGGATAAAACATTTCTCCTGAGTTTATTGATGTATTGACGAGACAAATTCATTCTCAAACGAACTGTGAAGTGGTGAAGCTTACACACCCAGAATTGCAGGAACAAATACGTCAAAAAATGTTTTCTGATTTTGCATGTGTAACGTGCATGACTGTCATAATGTTAATGTTTGCTACGAAAGTAATCCGATTAACGCAGTAAATCAAATATATTCACCACGCCAACCGAATGTCGTTATTTCACATGGTTAAGGTAACACTTAGTATCTTTCTGTACAGATCATGATTTTTATGTTTGGTACACAATCAGTTTCTAGCTGTTCAAAAAAAAACTTGAATAATAATAAAATTGAGAATGGAAACGGGGAATGTGCCAAAGAGACAACAACCCATCCAAAGGACAGAAAACAGCCCAAAGCCACCAATGGATCTTCAACACAGCGAGAAAATCCCGCACCCGGAGGCGGGCTTCAGCTGGGCCCCTAAACAAAAATGTGTACTAGTTCAGCAAAAATGGACGTCACACTAAACTCCGAAACATATAAATGGACTAAAATAATAAAATCCACACAAGACTAACAAAGGCCAGATGTTTTCTGACTTAGGACAGGCGCAAAAATGCGGCGGGGTTAAACAGGTTTTGTGAGATCCCAATCCTCACCCTTTACCTCTAGCCAATGTAGAATAAAACAAACACACATCAATATGCACAGTAAAACTCAGTTTTAAAGAAGTCCTAGTCCGATGTAAGAATAGGTAACAGAAGAAACTAAGCAAAATGACAATGATCAACATAAATTAACAAAGGACTACTAGCAATTACGGACATGCCAGCTCAAGACCTCATATTAACTGATTGAAAGATTATGTCTTCATAAAAAGAATCAAACACAATCCCTCCCGTTAGGGGTTTAGTATCATACCATCATAAAATATACGAGAAGAACATAACCCGTATCATGCCAACAACTGGTTTTAGAATAAATTTGTTTATTTCCGATGC